CAGAGGCTAGGCGGACACCAGAGGGGCACCAGGGTGGCTGGACGGAGCACTGGGCTACGAGGAGGGTCGCAGCAGGTGACATGAACACAGCAGAGCTTGGGGCTCACCCGTCTGCTCTGCCTCAGAATGTTCTGACCACGGGCTGGCCAAGCGAGGGAAGTGGGCCCTCTCACTGAGTCTCTTTAGTGCCACCTCTCAACTCTGAGCCCGTCTAAGGCCCCTGGCTCTTCTGTGACCCACTCCCTAGCTGCCACTGTCTCGTTTCTTTCTCCTTTTCCTTGTCTCAGGGTTCCCTTTGCTTCCCTATCACTGCTGCCCCTCCGGACCTCTCTGCAGAGGTTCTTCTCTCTCTGCCCCTAGTCCCTCCTCTGGAGCTCCGAGGTTTGAGTTACTGCCATGTGAGTCCAGACCTAAGAGCAAAATAGTGTAATTACCAAATTCCTCCAGGACAAAGACGCCTCGAACTGTATTGCACTTTTTAATGTGATTCAGCTCTATGAAAACCTGCAAGAGAGGGAGGGAGGGTGGGGTAAGGCCCAGAGGCTCCCCGCTTGACCCCCAAAGCCCACTCTCCCAGCTATAGCCCCACCCACACACAGAAAACCTATTTCCCAAAGGGAGGACAGAAGAATCCACACACACACAACTCAAAAGCGCTAAGAAGCGAAGATAGCAGAAAGGGCATGTACCTTCCGCTCCTGGCCGGAGGAGAAAGCATGGGAGAGAAATGAAGGTGTTAGTTTTAATGGTCAAACCCAACCCAAAGGCACCTCTGCTGGCCTGGGCTGCCCGCCTGTACCCTGTGTCCAGGGCAGCGTTCGTAGGACACTGTGCCCCAGGGGTCCCCCCACGCAGCCCCTCGGCTCTCTACCCTTCCATGCATCGTCCTCCGGCGCAGAGGGCTGGCACGGGCGCAAAGCTTCCCTCAGACTGTCCTCGGGGTGGAGGAGCTGCTATCTTCCTGGGAACAGGATCCAGGCCTCCCAAGAAGCATGAGGTGATCATAACGACAGCTACCACTTACAGGCAACGACTAGGAGTTCTACAAACACTATTTGCAATCTTTACATCTACGTGGCACAGTTCAGACTGCTACCTCACTTTGTAGATGAGGCCCCTGAGGATCGGAAATGAATGACAAAGCTGGGCTCTGAATCCCTCCTGACTCCGAAGACCACGCTTTCCCCATTTGTTACCCCAACTGCGTAACTCCATCGGAGGGTCTCAGGCTTCAACTCCAACTGACTGTTATGTGGTCGGAGATGGACCCCACAGCCCTTATCTCATTGTCAGTAGGGTCTGATTTCCCCTCTCCATAGGACCTATCTTCTAGGGCAAAGCCTTAAGCTCCATATCAGCTTGAACACGCTTTGTAATAGATGTTAGTCCAGAGGGGCTGTACTGAGGTGGGACCCAGAAGAGGGCAGCTGGGTGTGAACAAGATCTCTTCTCCAGAAAGTGAGGCATCGGGCGAGGCCACGGCACTAAAATGTGGTCAGAAGCCTGCTCCCCAAGAAGTGCCAGCACCTTCATGGTCCGGAAAAGTACTGAAGGAAACCCCTCTTTGGACTGACCCTAAAGTCTTAAGTGTACTATTCAAAATATCAACATTACTAATAGTAAACATACTATTAAAAATACACTGCCAAGAAGCCTGGGCAGTTGTCTCCCATCACACCAGGGCTGCCAAGCTAGACTCCTGAAGGAGAACTGAAGTGGCAAGTGGAGGGAGAAAGCTACCGAGTCCAGAGGGTCATCTCCCCCGAGTATCTGATGCCTGGCCAGGGGCTGTGGTGCCTCACACATTCGGGTCTGGCTCACAGCCGCAAGGAGAAGAGCCCGTACGTCAGGGAAGGGGTAGGGAAGGCACTTATGTGAAGAGTCAGAACTGGGAACGGACCTGGGATGATGCGCTGGCCCCAGAAAGGGATTAGCTTAAGGAATGTCCACTGAGAGAAAAAGTAACACTGTGTTAAAAGACCAAGAGAAAAAAAAAGTCAGCTGCTATGGCGGAATCACAATGAGGGAAAGATGTATCCTGAAGTGTTCCCCAGTCAAAAGAAGGGGCGTGGGGCCTGTGGAGCAGGGTCACAGTGGGGACACTCAGAGGAAGGAAAAGAATAGGA